TCTAACTTCAGGCTCAGATTTAAAGATGAGGAATGAAGGGGAGCACTTAAGTGTCTAAGTTTAACCACACAGCAGAGGAGAGTTTTCTTTACATGGAAACATTCCAGCTAAATATAAGGATTCTGTTTTAAAGCATAGTCACAACTGCATTAGAAATGAAAAAGAATGTTAGAATTCTGATATGGTTTGGATGTTTGTCCCCGCCAAATCTCATGTTGAAATGTAATCCCTGGTGTTGGAGGTGGGGCCTGGTGGGAGGTGTTTGGATCAGTGTTTGGTTGAATCTGTATCCATCCGTTTTTGTGTTTCTACAAAGGAATACCTGAGACTAGGTAATTTATAAAGAAAAGAGGTTTACTGGGCTGACAGTTCTGTGGGCTGGATGAGTACAGCACCAACATCTGCTCAGCTTCTGGTGAGGCCTCAGGAAGCTTACAATCATAGCAGAAGGTGAAGCAAGGCTAGGCATGAGACTGGATCTCTGATGAATGGCTTGGTGCTGTCCTCGTGGTAATGAGTGAGTTCTCACTCTGAGTTCATGCAAGATTGGGTTATTTAAAAGAGCATGGCACTCCCCTCTCCCGCTCTTGCTCCTTCTCTTGCCACGTGACCTGCCTACCCTTCCTTTGCCTTCTGCCATAATTTTAAGCTTCCTGAGGCCTCACCAGAAGCCAAGCAGATGTTGGTGCCATATGAGTACACCCCACAGAACTGTTAGCCAAGTAAACATCTTTTCTTTGTAAACTACCTCGTCTCGAGTATTCCTTTATAGCAACACAAAAACAGACTGATACAAATTCAAAATCACCATTTCAGCATTCCTAGTGAATTAATGGGTTCAGGCACTGAGATCAATGGCTGTTTTTATCACAAAAAGGAGACAGCCAGACATGTGCCTCCTGATAGGAAGTCCACAATCCCATCTATAAAGTCATCTTGCCAAATAAACAAATAAATCAAAACCGAACCTGACCAAGCTCCTAAATCCAATTTTCAATCTGCAGGACACAGAGAGGACAGAGGAACAGGTCAAACTGTACCACAGGGATGCAATCAACAAAATCTAGACCCTACAGAACCAATGATGCAGTGTCTTCAACAAATCAATTGCAAGGAAAAGGGAAATGGAGAGGACACAGAGGTTAAGAGCAACTTAAGAGGTACATCAACCAACATAAACCAACATCAGCCAATTATATTGCACAGGCTTTATTTAAATCCTGATTCAAACTATTAAAAATTGTATAACATGTAAGAGACATTTGGAAATTTGAACACTAATTAGATACTTGATGATATTAAGGAAATAATTATACATTTTTTTAGATACAGTAATAGTGTTGTCATTGCGTTTTTAAAGAATCCTTGTCTTTTAGAGATATGTATGAAGCCTGTATGATAACAATATAACGTCTGGGATTTGTTCAAAATATTTTGGGTGGCAGGGAAGGGGGGAGGGATAGGCAAAACAAGACTGCATTGGAGTTAAAGCTGGGTGATGAATACTTGGGTGTTCACCGTAGTGTAGTACCCTTTGTTTTTTTTTTGAAACAGGGTCTCACTCTGTTGCCCAGACTGGAGTGCAGTGGTATGACCACAGCTCACTGCAGCATCAACCTCCTGGGCTCAAGAAAGCTTTTTATTTTGCCTCCCAGGTAGCTGGGACTATAGGTGTGTACCATCATACCTGGTTACATTTTTAAAATATTTCTTGTGGAGATGGGGTGCCCAGCCATGTTACCCAGGCTGGTCTTGAACTCCTGAGCTCAAGCAATCCTCCTGCCTCGGCCTTCCAAAGTGTTGGGATTACAGGCATGAGCCACCATGCCTGGCCTACTGTACTACTCTTAATCTGCTTCTAAGTTTCCACAATAAAATACTACAACAAATTACCAGATTTATTGCTATTTTTTTACTTACAGTCACCATTGTCATTATAGTATTTCATCTGATTTACATTATGAATTGTAAGAGGCACTATCATTTTTGATGTGCCACTGATAACATGCCTCCCAGTTTCAGAGCTGTTAATGCGGAAACGTGTCTTAGAACCAATGCACTATATTATCATCATCACCAACAATATTACTGTTAGCTAAAGCCAGCATTTATCAAGCACTTGTGATGAGCTAAGCTTTGTACACACATCCTCTTTCATTTCATAACAACTCTATGAGAAGGTGTCCCCATCTTATGGATAAATAAAAATGAGGCCCAGAGAAGCTGCCCAGAGTCACACAGCCCTAAGAGGCCTAGGTGGACTTTGAACCCAGGACGGTCTAACCCAGGTCTGTGCCCTTCCTCTGTAAGAGACCACCCTCAGTGAGCACAACAGGCCAGAGCCGGACAGCTGCCTGTCCCTGGAGACTGCAACCTCCCCCAGACCCTCCTGCTGGGAGGGGAGAAGAAGGTGGCATCAGGGCACTCACAGCGTCTGGATGGCCCGCAGGGAGGTGAACGTGCCCTTGGCAAGGCTCTGGATCTTGTTGTCATACAGGGAGAGCAGCGAGAGGTTCTGCAGGTCCTGGAAGGCATCGGGCCGGATGCAGTTGATCTTGTTGGCATTCAGGAGCCTGTGGGCAGAGCCAGGAGCAGGTGGTAAGGGGAGAGGCTCAGCATCAGACCCATCCCATGTCCTGGGTGTTTTGTACTATCAATAAAGAACAAAATGCTGCCAACTAAATGATGTGCTACTGATTATAGTGTGCATCCCCGTTTCAGAGCTGTTAGTGTGGAAGCAACATGTGCCTTGGAACCAGTGCACTATATCATCATTATCGTCATCATCACCATCGATATTCAGCCCCTGCCTCCGTTCTTACAGGGAGGCAACCACCGAAGTGGGCCCAGGGAATCTGCCCTCTGGATGTCAGCTCCACACAGAGGGGCCTGGAACTCCGACTGCCTTCTCCATGCACAGGGACATCTCGGTCAACCCACTCTTCTCTCTTTCCAAGAATTGCTAGAGATGCCCTGTGGGATTCTGGGAAAGCGGAGAGCCACCTTGCAAAGGCATTTTTTGGGGAGCTCCTCCTCCTTCTCAGAGGTCCATTGGGTTCCCCAGGCAGCTGAGTTGGAGCATTCGTGTTCAGTGCCTCTTGAGTCCTGGGAGAAAATCCTTGCCTGAAAGTTCATGGCTCAAGGAGGCCGAGCCGGCATGGGTGTCCCCCTGCAGGAGAAAGCTCTGTCCCCAGCCACACCAGGCTCCTCAGGAGCATGGGCCAAGTCCCAGCAGCCTCCCTGCTCTGGCATCCTGTGAGCAGCTCTGAAGCTGCCTCTGCCTCCCTCTCTGGGCTCTGCAGAGCCCTGGAGACTCTTTCAGCCCTAGTGGGTCTGCCTGTCTTCCAAGCTCATTGTCTCAAGTGAGTCCCATACTGCAAAGAGGCCCAAAAGGACAGTCTACCAGGCCAGAGGAATGCTGGCCCCTCCCTGGGTCCCACCCAAGACACCCAGGGTTCGTTCTTACAGGAGCTGTAGGGTGTACAGGCCTCCAAACACACCGCGGGGGAGGTCTGTGATCTTGTTTCCATAGAGGACCCTGGAGGAAGGCAGCAGAAAGGTGGGTTAGGGGACAGCCCACCAGAGCGAACGCACAGCTCTGCAAATAGCCCCAGCTCAACCATTTACATGAAGCACATCCTAACGGTGTATATTTGTTATAGCAACTTGTCTGCAGATGACAGCAAAGTGTCTTAAGAAAGGGTTGCCTGCTTCTAGGCGTAAAGTGCCCTATGTGCTAGAGATGGCCCTGATCCCAATCGCTAAAAAAGCAGCCCCTGTTCCACCGCCCTCACACAGGGACCCCACAGAAGGCTGCGAAGGGGCGCTTCCTGGGAAATTCATCTGGTCTGGAATCCAAAAGGAGACTGTTCAGAGAAGAGAAATCCCATGGGCAGGAATAATTAACATCTTTTCAGAGCGTTACAGGAAAAAATAGAATGCCAGACGGCACATGCAGTGAGATCCGGATGGTGGGACTTCAAGCATTTTTTTTTTTATACTTTAGTATTTTCAAAGTTTTCTGCATTGAGCATGAATTCCATGTATAGGTTTTTTTTAAGCAAAAGTTAAAAAAAAACACATGTAGACATGGGTGGGTTCAGGAGGACAGTGAAAGTATCCAGGGGGTTTGGGGAGGGGGTTGGATGCCATTCCCAATATCATAGTCAGATCCCACGAGCTATCGTAAACGTTGAAGCTGAGTAAAGAATCCTGGGTACTGCCTCTTCAAACATGGCTCCAAGGTCATTCCCGGAGGGGAACAGCAAAGTTCCCACAGTCGGAGCTGTGTGTGCCTGTCCCGTGTGGACAGGTGACAGGGCCAGTGTGGCTGGAGTGGAGGGAACAAATGGGACAGTATCTTGGGCTTTACCGAGCCAGCATCAGGAAGCCACTGAGGCAGCGTCAGATTCCCGTTTCAGAACCACCCCTCAGGCTGCTGGGTGGGAAATGCAGCAGAGGGGGCAGGAACCAAATCAGGGAGGCAAGGCCAGGGCAGGCCAAGGTGGACACTGTTCGTGGGCCAGACTGGAGTCATCCACGTTCCTATATGCAGGGTGGCAGCTGTGACCAGGTACCCATGAACAACAGAAACCCACTAGGATGGGTTCTTCACCTTTTACCTCTTTAGACTGCCATGTTCCCACTTAGGAGAGCTTCATTCACTTCTCAGAGGAAGGGCCTTGAGTTTTGACAGGCCACCTTCAGAATCTGATCTCCTTAGCCAATGACAACTACCCCTCACCAGGCTGTCGTGTACAGCTGTATAGGGTGTGCACTGCACAACTTCCGGAGTGCCATTCACAATTGGCCCCACCCACTACTTGGACTCTGCTCCAAGATGGCATGCACAGAAGGCACTGAGCTGGCAGGCTCCCACACTCCCCGGGGGAGTTCCATTCTGTTGTACTCGCCAGGCCTCTAGTCTCTGCCAAGCATGTGTCCTGTGCTGCCAAGGAGCAGGTGAAAACACTCATCCCCTAGAGTAAAAAATGGCCCCTCCTACAGGGAGCTTGCCCAACTCCAGGGCACTCTGAGTGTGCTCTCCATACAAAGTGCTGTATGACCTCGGGGAGTGAGGAACTTGGTGAGTGAGAGGGGGGTGCTTCACTACCTTTTGTATGTTCTACTGACAGACTTCCCCAGCAGACCCTGAAGGAAGGGAAACACTGGAAGGCGAGTGGGAAAATACTGTCCCAGCAGCACCCACCGCATCTTGGGATCCATCACATTTGGGATAAAAGATAGCAAGGTGTGGCAGACATCACAGTTGGACCCAGTGCTCACTGGCCCTGTGGTGACCACAGAGGCCTCAGGAACACAGCATGCTGGGCTTCAGTGGGGGACAGGTCCAAGATGCTTGTGCAAAGAATGCTGGGAAAATCCTCACCGTGGCAGGATGTGCATCCCAGTTGCCAGGGGCAACAGCTCTGCCTAGCTTCTCCACACTTCTCCCGCTCCCAGCGTCGGAGCGTCCACCAGTGAGGAAGAGGGAGCTGGAACAGCAAACCCTTTGCAGCCAAAGGATGACCCACTGAGGCTGGGATGGGCAGGGGCTGTGTGGAGGGGGGCATAGCCCTGCTCCTCCTCCTGCACCTACCAGAGGGGCCCTGGGCCCTGCCAGCCTCCTCGGGGGATGCCCTGGACCACTGAGGAAGCCTTGCCACTGCTACTCACAGTGAGTTCAGGGAGCGGAGGCCCTGGAAGGCATCGGGTGCGATCTCCGCGATCTGGTTGTTGCTCAGGTCTCTGCAAGTTGAGCAAAAGGAGAGGGGGCATCTGAATTTCTCAATGGCCACTGAGCCCTTCCCAGTCCCTTCACCTCATAGATGCCATGGGGGCAGTGTGGGGTGCTTTGAAATTAGAATAGTGGGAGGCCAGATCCCTCCATTTCAAAGCCCATGGCCGGTATTTCCCTGTGCAGTCTGAGGGCCGGGCATGAGGGGGCACTCCAGCTTGGGAATTTATGGATGAGGCTTTCCCATGCATCCTGGCAGTCTCCTAGCCCCCTTCCATCCTTAATTGCTGCCCAAGCTGAAATGGGAAGATGACAAGTAACTCCGGTCACAGGCCAGGCTCAGGCTCAGCACTCCCTTTGGGCCACACAACAGCCCTGCAAGGAGGTCCCCGTGTCACAAGCCAAGCAGCCTGAAGGGCAGGAAGGCCAAGTGGCTGGCCCAGGGCCATTCAGCTGCAGGGGCTGAGTGAGGGCCTGGCCCAGGGCTGTGGGACCACCCAGGATCTCCGTCAGCCCTGTGCCAGCTCCCCAGGAAGCAGCTGGAGGCACTCACATCCTCCGTAGCTTTCTGTAAGGTGAGAAGGCTCCGGGGGGGATGGACTTGATACCGTTGAGCTCCAGGCGTCTGTGGAGAGAAAATGGATGGGAGGCATAAGGGCCCAGGTTACCCCATCCCTGGGGGTTACCTGCTGGGCTCACCCATCCTGAACAAGCCTTTGGCCCTCCTTCCCCTGCTCCCTTACCCCTTCCAGAAGTTGAAGTCTGGGGTAGGGGCACTGGCACAGGCAGAGAAAATTCTGACTCGAGCTCCATCATCCCAGGCATTTAAGGCCGAAAGGGGCCTACAAATGATGCCGAGAACCCGATTCCAGCAGACTCACACAGAGCGACACCGCCTCCCCAGCCCTGGACACAAAGCTCAGCCCAGCAGAAGCAAACGATGTCTTCTCCATGGTCACTCAGGGGCCCTGAGGTGGCACTTACTCCAGCTCTTCACTGGACCTCTGGAGCCAGGCCTGCCAAGGGGAGGGACCTGTGCCCACCCCAGCACCTGCCCTGCCCTGTTCTGTACTCACATCTCCGTCATGGTCTCGGGCAGGTTGGCCGGGATGGCAGTGAGGCCTTTGCCACGACAGTCCACGATGCCATTGCTGCAGGTGCACATGGCCGGGCAGGAGCCGGAGGAAAGGGTGCAGGTGGGCACGCGCCCTGCTTCCCCTGGGCCTGCAGAAACAGGGGGGTGTGGCCTCAGGCTGTCCCGCATCAGCACCTCCCTCTAGCCCAGATACAGACTGATGGGTGGGACGGGGTGCACAGCGGCAGTTTCTCTGGATGAGGATGAAACAGCAGAGATCACTAATGAAATGATTCCTGACGTCGGTATAACTCTGCGGGTGCCTGGCACACAGCGGGTATTTGTCAGATGTTTGCTGCCCTTGAATCTAAACTGAATTGCAGTGGTGTGTGATTCATACACTAAGAAACCCTGGCCTGCAGTTCTGAAGCTCTGGATTCTAGTCCAAGTCACTTAACACTTCTGAGCCTAAGTCCTCTCATCTGTCACATGAGGGTGACAATGACTGTTTCTAAACACTTAAACACTTACTCTGTGCCACATGCTCTAAGTGTAGTACATGCAGTATCGCATTTAAGCCTAAGAGGAGCCTATTATTGTTGTCATTCTACAGCTGAGAAAACAGAGTCCTCGATATTAATTTGTAGAAATTCTCACAGCTAGTAAGTGGTAAAACCAGGATCCAGCCCAGTGTCTTATATAAGAGCCTTTGAAAATGTGGAGGTGTAACTTATACAAAACGCTCTTTCTGAAGGAGGTAGAACTTATACAAAGTACTCTATCTGAAACACGTAGCTGGTGGAACCACAACCTCAACATAGAACATTTCCATTACCTGAGAAGATTCTCTCCTGCCCCTTCCCCAAAGTAAACACTATTCTGAGATCTATCGCCAAAGATTTGCTCTGCTCACTTCTGAGCGTCGTGTAAATGAAACAGTAGTTTCTCTTATGTCTGGCTTTTTTGCTTAATACGCAGTGTTTGAGATTCACCACGTTGCTGTGTATATCGGTAGTCCGTTCTTTTTCATTGCTGAGCGGTATTCCATTATATGGGTATATCATAATTAGTCGGTGGACATTCAGGTTGTTTCCAATTTGGACTATGATGGAAAAAGCTGCCTTTAATATTTTTGGACATTTTTGCAGAAAAAAATGCACACACCTAGCAGTGGAGCTGCAGGGTTACAGGGCGGGCATAACCTGAGCCTTAGAGGATCCTGCAAGACGGTTCTGCAGAGTGGTCAAGCCAATTGATATCCCCACCAGCATTTTAACCTCAAATATCTTCCCTGGCTGCCCCAAAACCTGGGCACCAGGACCAAATGAGGCAAAGCCTCATGGATTCCTGGCATATTGTGACAGTAGCCTTCAAAGGAAAAGGGTTGCCAGGGTGATCACACCCAGAGGAAAAACTAATGTCTGAAAATAGAAACCACAGTCTTCCAAATGCAAAGAAAAAGGTTTCATTTCAAAATAAAAATTGTCCCAGTGAATTATCCATTCCTATTCCTAAAAACCGTGGTAGCTGCAATGATGCAGAGGCAGTCCTGGCTCACACCTGAGACACACCCGTGTGTACGCACACATGTTCTAGCACATGGGCACACTCATACACTCATACACACACACACACATCTGCACGCACACACAAACAGAGCACTGCTGAGTACAGCGGTGTTCAAGCCCAGTCTTGGGTGTCTGCCAGTGCAATGAAGGAGGTGACAGCCACAGCCCAGAGCCTTACACTGAGGCAGGGAGGCTGAGCCTAGGAGATGCTTTCCTTCAGAGCACTGTGGCTGACAGGCCCAGTACACAGACTGGGGGAAACAGCCTCTAAATCATCTGACACAAGGCCGGGCATGGTAGCTCATGCCTGTAATCCCAGCACTTTGGGAGGCTGAGGTGGGCGGATCACCTTAGGTTGGGAGTTCGAGACCAGCCTGATCAACGTGAAAAAACCCTGTCTCTACTGAAAATATAAAATTAGCCGGGCGTGGTGGCACATGCCTGTAATCCCAGCTACTTGGGAGGCTGAGGCAAGAGAACCACTTGAACCCAGGAGGCGGAGGTTGTGGTGAGCCAAGATCGTGCCATTGCACTCCAGCCTGGGCAACAAGAGCGAAACTCCATCTCAACAACAACAAAAAATAAACAAATCCTCTGTCACAAATCTGAGAACTGTGCATTCATTCAGCTAGCATTTCCTGCACCAAGCGAAGACAAAGTACTGAGGATGTGCCAGAAATGCAACGCGGGGCCTCACATAGGATCACAGAAGGCTCCCTGGGCTCTGCAGGGCGAGGAGGAGTAGGCAGGCAACAGGGAGGGAAGGGTGTGCCTGACAGGGGAACAGCCTGTGAGGCCAGGGGGCGGGAGAGCCCGTGCCAGGAAGGGGCAGAGGCAGAGGCAGCTGGGGGAGCTGCAGGCAGGGGGAAGCAGGGAGACAGTGCTGGCCCTGGCCAGGCTTGCGGAGCCTGAGAGCAGTTCAGACTCTCACAGCAGTGCTGACGGCTGGGTGAGTACACGAGCAGTTCCCACCCAGAACGTGGGTTCTTTTTGGTCTTCTGGCTGTAGTAGGGACAACAAAGGGGCCAGGGAGGACATGGGCCACCAGTCAGGAGGCTATCACAGAACCCCAGGGGGAAGGTGAAGGGGCATGGGCTTTGAGACCCACCTCCCCTGGAGCCAAGGTTAGAGGACCCAATTCAACGACTTGCCAAGGCAGCAGAGGTGAGGCGATAGGAGGGTGAGGGGGTGATAGCAGGGGCAAGGAGCCCAGAGGACGAGTGGGAGGTGGCACTGAGTACACCAGAAAGAGGACGGGATGGAACAAAGCAGGTGCTGAGTGCACGAGGCAGTGAAGGAACAGGAGGGAAAAGGAGATCAGATGAGAAGTGACACACGGAGACAAAGACCATGGTGAGAACGGGAGGTGGTGTATGGGGCAGGAGAGGCAGATAGTGGGGGCAGGAGGTGGTGGGCGGGGCCAGAAGGTGATGGGCGGGGTCAGAAGGTGATGGGCGGGGCCAGGTAGCAATGTTGAAGTTAGGGGTGGGAACAAGAGGCAGAGCAGGAGGCAGCGGTGGTGCTGGACAGTTGAGAGCCTGGCAGTGGCCTGTACCCACCTGAGCAGCTGAACTCACTCTTCTGGACCTCTGCCACATTGAGGCCACGCAGGCTGGCCGGGCCTGAGCACTGGGTGAACAGCCCGATGGTTGGCCGCTGCCTCAGCCACTGCGAGAGCCAGGCCAGGTGGCAGTCACAGAACAGGTGGTTGGAGTGCAGGCGGCTGCAGGAAGACAGGGTGGCTCACAACCCATCTGGGCCGCCAGCCCAGCCAGATTGTGGGAACCCCCAACCTCAGGCAGGAGGCTGCCCCCAGTGCTGTGTTCAAGCCAAACACATTTAGTCAAGTAGGTGGCTCAGCGCCAACCCGGGAGTATCCACAGTCCCATGAGGATCCCGCTGCTGCCCCTCCCCTCCCACATGCTCTGGGCACACCTGGGCCGGAATGTGCCCAGCAAAGCCCAGGTCATCGCACTGAGCTCACGCAGGCTCACGGCCCCAAACCACCAGGCTCATTTTCAAGCACAAAAACAAATCATTTGTTTTCCAAGGGAAAACCAAATTAAGCGGCACTGGATGGCCTGCAACTGTATCTCAATTCTTTCCGCCTCCGATTGCATAGAGCCCTCACCCTGGGCCGGCCTCTGGGGGTCTCAGGGAGAATGAGCTCCATGACCTGTCTGCAGAACCCTCACCTCCTATCCCACCCACCCCCTGGCATCAGCCGGGCTTGGCTGCCCCACTCCCAGCTGCCCCGGCTGACTCACAAGGTCCGTAGCTTGGGCATGTGGTTGAAGCTGGACACGGGGATGGTGGTGATATTGTTGTTGTTCAGGGTCCTGATCGGGAGAAACCAGAGCCATTTAGCACCTGCCCAGCAGGAGCTGATGTGGGACAGGGCCACCCTGCTGACAAACAGGGAGACCTTGAAGTGGACCAGCATGGTGCTAGACATGGAGGGGCTAAGCCGAAGAGCATGAGGCAGATCCCACCCCTTGGGGAAAGCCCCAAGCTGGGACGGTGACTGCGAGCCAATGGCACCATAGACTCCAAGGCTGGTAGGATGGGGAGATGGAGCGGGGCGGGTGATGGGACACATCCCAGACTTGGGTTGGCTTGGAAGAAAGGGTGGGGTTTGGATAGGCAGGGGGAAAGAGGGAACATTCCAGGCCGAGTGGCAGAAACTCTTGGGTTTCATCCTGAGCAGGTTACACCAGAGCACACTGTTTACTGCAGGCACAAGCCCTCAAGCCCATGAGGGCCTATCTTCTCCTCCTCCAACCCACGAGGCCCCGTCCTCCCTCCTCCGACCCACGAGGCCCCGTCCTCCCTCCTCCGACCCACGAGGGCCCGTCCTCCCTTCTCCGACCCACGAGGCCCCGTCCTCCTTCCTCTGACCCATGAGGGACTGTCCTCCCCTCCTCCAAGGAGATTCTAGGAGGACTGGCCTCCCCCTTCCTGTCTCCCTGGTGCCCGCTTCCCAGGCTGTGGCACTTGGCACCTGCGTAGCAGAGCCCTCCACACCCCTCCTTCCTTTTCCCTGCTTTACTTACAGCACCTCCAGCCCCCGCAGAGCACGGAAGGCCCCTTCCTCGATGCAGCTGATCTGGTTCTTGTCCAGCTGTCTGTGAAGCAAAGGAAGGTTGTAGAGAGAAGGGCACATTGCCTAGAGTAAGGGTGTGCAAACATTTTGACTGTGTGCTCCCTTCATTCAAAAGAGGCATGCCCCTAGTCGTTTGTTATGTGTATATGTATCAATCCAAATAGTAAACATTAGTAAAAACTTAAGTTTTTTTTCTACTCTTCAGTTAAATCATAAATATAAGTAAAAGTTATGTTCTTCTACTCAACCTTACATATCCCCTGGGGAGCAGGCACCCCCCCTACAGACACACACATTTTGGAGACCACCTAGCTGGTGCTGGCAGGTGAAAAAGGAGAGAGTCACAAAGCAGTGGCAGCCAGAGCTGGCAAACAGACTTCAGCCTGAGTGCCAAAGAGGTTGACTAGAGGTGGCTGCCTGGATTGCTGCTGTCAGAGTAAACTGAAGCTTCGAGGTGAGCTCTACGTGAAAGCATGTGGTGATTGATTACCAATGTCTGCCACAGGCGTGGGAGGGAGTGTGTGTGACAAGCATGTCAGGCGCTTGCCATCCCTGTTGTAGTCAGACCTGGGAGAGGTGGTAAGCCTGGACCAGAATAAATTTGAATAATAAGGCATTACATTTAAATAGCATTTGACAAAGTGTATTTACTTCCATGTCTCATTCAAACCTCAGAACAGGCCTGTGAAGTAGATCTTCTTAGCCCTATTTTCAAGAACAATATATCGAGGCTCAGTGATGTTCACTGACTTGCAGCAGCTTATGTGACATGTAACTAGAAGAGAAGATTCAAACCCAGCTCTCCCAACCCAAATACGAGGCAGGCAATGGAGGACAAGGGCACAGACACTATGCCATCAAAATGGACTGAGAATGTCACCCATGCTGATAAGTTGCTTCACTAGGTCCACAAGAGCCCGCTCTATTGGCTCTTCACACGAAATCACACCCAAGGGAGAGGCAAGGGCTGCATGTTTCCTCCAACCCCAGATTGTTCCAGAAGACCATGCTGGCACCAGCCCTCCAAGAGCCCAGGTTAGCTCCCTGGCTGCCTGGACCACATGGTTCGGGGACACCCTGAGGACACTGCCAGGAGGGGCCCTGGAACCCCTGCACCCTTCTCCCTCCCAGGCCTGTACTCACAAATTTTTGAGATCCGTAGCTCCCCGAAAAGCTTTCCTGGGGATGGCCTGAATGGCATTCTCACTCAAGTCCCTGGGAGGATAAAGCCAGAGGGAGACAAAACACAGATGAGAAAAGAGGTCCCTGCAGAGTGCCGTGATGAGTCAGGGCAGCAGGGCAGGTGGGCTGGAGGGCACTGGACCGGCTGCTGCTGCACTCCAGCAACCTAGGACAGCGCCCAGCCCACAGCGGCCACTCAGCAAGCATTTGTTGAATGAATGAATGATGGAACTGGAGAGGTACACCATGTCCTGGAGGGAGGTCAGTCCCCAGCCACCTTCCCTTCTCTGGGCTGGAGGCTTGCAGCTGAAGGGAAGAGCCTGGGACAGCTATGACCAGCCCTGCCAGACCCCACCTGACGTAGTTTAGATATCTGTCCCCGCCCAAATCTCATGCTGAATTGTATTCCCCGCTGCTGGAGGTGGGGCCTGGTGGGAGGTGATCAGGTCACGAGGGCTGATCCCTCCTGGCTTGGTGCTGACTTCCGGATGGCCAGTGAGTTCTGGGAGCACTGGTTGTTGAAGGGTATGGCGTCTCCCCCTCCACTCTCCCTCCTCTTCACTCTCCCACGTCAAGTGCCTGCTCTCCCTCTGACTTCTGCCAGGAGTAAGAGCTCCCTGAGGCCTCCCCAGAAGTAGATGCCTG